TAGATAAAACTTGGAACTCTGAGGCAAAAAGAACAACAGTAAGGGAGAGAGGAAGGGGAAATGTTTGCCATTAAGGTACTTACTGTTAAAAAACCAACGCCTTGGGATGAGAAACTAGATGCTCTGATAAACTCTCAGTGTTACAATGTAAGTCAATTTCCAATAAAGCATTTGCCAAATTACAGCAACTGTTCTGAGAAAAGAATTGCTCTGATAGCACTATTTGGCCCTTCTTAGGATCCTTGACCCATTCTACCCCAAGAAATGAGGGAGTCAATTAGCTGTGCTGTGTTCCCAGAAGACATTAAACAAGGATCCTGGATGAAGGAAACGATCTGCAGGAGAAGCAGCAACTTTGATTTCAGACAAGCTACCAGAAACAGTAACCATCTCTTTCTGTAGATACACTTCTTTCTTTCTGACATTTCAGTCAAAGGCTCTTGACAGAGGTACAGTAAACCCACGTGTAGGTTTATTATAATATTTCTTTAACAATGCCACATTCACCAACAATAGCATTTCTTGGGATTGCACGTTCATCGCATCAAAAGATCTCAAAATGCTTATGGGAATCCTCATATGGGAGAAAAGAGATCTGGTGGCTCCTATAAAGGAAGAATATAGCAATGACAAACAGGGAAAGCTCTGTCATCAGAAAGGATGTCTCTCAAAGCAATCTGCAAAAAGTGTCCCCAAATTAGGTCTGGGGAGCCACCTGGACCTCAGATATTCCACATTTCCAGTTTAGCTTTAGGGTCCTCAATATTGCTCCCCATACACTAAACTGCAACTCTGCTAATCACAAATCTGGGAAATTCCAGCAAAGAAACCTCGGCATACCCTATGGCAGTGCAAAACTCCAGACATTTGTAAACACTGTACATTTTACTTTTGGCACAGGGGAAAGTTTGCAGGTTCCTTTATCTTTGAAGTGCAGGTTCCAAACAGCGCTAGTTCCTAATCTATAGCCATTTTCAGCAAAGGCAATAACAGTCCATCAAGTGTCTGTGCACACATGTACATCCATGAATGAGAGAACTATTAAAATGAATTCTTCTTTAGGACCTGGGTCTGAACAATTTAAGCAGATACATGGCTAAACAGAAAACAACAGATTCACAGTATCTAAAGCCATATACTTTCAGAATTTCACATAACTCCCTGTGGGAAAAAAACCAAATAGCTGGTGTAGGGGAGGAAGACATTTCCTCTACCCGCTCTGGGTTTTTCTGGCCGGAGAATGAATTAAATTCACATGAGACAGAGTAAGAGGAGAAAATTAAACAAAGCTTTATAACAGGTATACACGGGAGAGGCTCAGGCAACCTGAGCAACTAGCCAAAATAGATGAAGCCCCCACCTTAAATATCATCTTCAGCTAAAGACAAAGGAGGGTGTTGGGGGTGGGGGGACTCAGTTTACAGGAGATTACCAGACAAGTACAGTAAACAAGGGTGAAGTTATTATGCAGATTTAAGTCCTTGCCTTCCACAGTGATAAGAGGGTCTAGAGATAAGGTCATCCCCCTTCTTCCTGGTGCAGAGAAGGAGACACCTTTACAGACTGAGATTTCCTTTACAATGTAAATGTCTCTTAACAAAGGGTAAGTAAACTCTGCTTTTCAGAGTTTCTTTGCTGTCTGCAGTTTTTAAAAGTAACCAGCCCAAAATAATCCTCATGCCAAAGAGTATCTTGGGGTGGCAAATGCCAGTCCCCTACACTGGTTAACAAGTTTCTGCCTTTCTAAAGAGAACCAAGAGGTAACACTACAATAGCTTTCTAGAACCAAAGAGCTAATATTCACCAACTTCTCCATAATGACTTATCAAAGGAGCTAACATTGCATTGAACTGACATTAAAAAGTTACAAACGAGCCTGATCTTTAAAAATAAATTTTTACAAAGAAAACAACATCCCACAAAGCATTATATACACATCTAAATATACATAAATTATTATTAAACACAACTGCATGTTTCAAATACTTGACAGTGATCCAACCTTCCATTAGAAGACTTCATGGCAGGGGCTGGATCTGTGGCCGAGGGGTTAAATTCGCTCACTCTGCTTCAGCGGCCCAGGGTTTCACCAGTTCAAATCCTGGGCACAGACAGGGCACCACTCATCAAGCCATCAGGTGGCGTCCCACATGCCACAACCAGAAGGACCCACAACTAAAAATACACAACTATGCACCGGGGCCTTTGGGGAGAAAAAGGAAAAATAAAATCTTTAAAAAAAAAAAAAAAAAGATTTCACAGCAGTCTGGAGGCTGGCCTGGCTGGACACCAGTCCACTGTCCAAGCCTAGACCGGGGAACCACGATATTCTACAGATGGACTGCAGAGAAACGGTACTATCAGTTTAAAGGCTTGGTCTAAGATTTTAAAAGTCTGATTTAAGTATGAAAATACGTATTTATGTGCTGTGCAAGTAGAGGGAGTTAATAGCAAGAGACAAGAGACATTTTTAGCTGTAATCTAGAAATTCACTGTTTTTCTAAGGACTTGTCATTTCTGCTCTGAACCTTCTGTCCAGGATAACATGATCATAAATATTAATTTAAATAACTAAAGTAAGACATTTGATTCTAATGTGGGATGATTTCATTTAATCACAAGTCTACGGTGTGATGCAACAGAAACAATAAACTCCATGGACAGCTACTTTAACAGCTCCTTTCCTCAGGATCAAGATTTCATACAATAGCTAAGATACGCAAACAACTTAAGTGTTATCAAAGGATGAAGGGCTAAAGAAAATATGGTACATATACAATGATATTGTATTGTATACAATCTTATCACTTGTGAGATATGGATACACCTCGAGGGCATTATGCTAAGTGAGTAAGTCAGAAACACCTCCCTTATATGTGTAATCTAAAAACAAAAAACACCAAGCTCAGAGATACAGAGAACAAACAGGTGGTTGCCAGAGGCAAGGGGTAGGGGGAGGTGAAATGGGTGAAGAGGGTCAAAAGATACAAACTTCTAGTTATAAAATAAATAAGTCCTGGGGATGTAATGTACGGCATAGACAATGTTGCCATTTGTGATGATATGGATACACCTTGAGGGCATTATGTAAGTCAGTCAGAAACACCTCCCTTACATGTGTAATCTAAAAATGAAAAACACCAAGCTCAGAGATACAGAGAACAAATAGGTGGTTGCCAGAGGCAAGGGATAGGGGGAGGTGAAATGGGTGAAGGGGGTCAAAAGATACAAACTTCCAGTTATAAAATAAATAAGTCCTGGGGATGAAATGTACAGGCGTGGTGACTATAATTAATAACACTGCATTGTATATTTGAAAGTTTCTACGAGAACAGACATTAAAAGTTCTCATCACAAGAAAAAAAATTCTGGAGCTACGTATGGTGACGGATGTGAACCTGACTTATTGTAATTATTTCTCAGTGGATACAAATACTGAATCACTGCGTGCTACACCTGGAACTAACACAATGTTGTGTGTCAATTATACCTCAAAAACCAAAAAGATTTCAAGTGAAGCATGGCTTACCTATAACTAGGAAGACCATATAATTTAAGGTACAAATGAAGACATCTGAGAGTGCATGGGGGAGACTAGGTAAACTGGAAGGGATGCTGAAAAGGAAGAGCAAACTAGCACTGTCCCCAGAAACCCAGAGCACATGGCAGTCTTAAGCACAATAAATGGTAGTGTCTGGAAGCCAAGGGTTTCTTTATCTCAGAGCAGTACTATGAAGACCTCACATACAAACTATGTCTTCCTTTAGTGGCAGTGAGTAAAACACATCCGTACCGCAGCGGCATTGAAAAAAGAGCAAAAGTGAAAATAGACGGAGAAGATGGTTTAAAGTTTCCTGCAGGTAAAGATGAGATTCAGCTCAAAGCTGCAGCTTTTTTCTAAGCAAAGTACTTAGTGCTAATGAAAAACCCAGGGGAGCAAAGGGGAAAAAGAGGAAAGCTCAGTAGCATGAGAGGACTCTGTGCTAGGCAAGGATATGCCAAAATTAGCATTAAATATTATAAACACAAATAAAATTTAAAAATTTTTTCTTAATTTTCTAAAAAAACCCGCACCTTTACATAAGAGGAATCATAAGGTACAAGCGCAGATGTCCAACTCTCCCTGCCCCCACCCCTTAAGTTATCGCTTGCAAAAAGCATCTGACTGGCAAAAATAAAACAAAATTGAGGGCTATCAAGCTGTTATGAAGAGTGTAGCACTAAGGGGAAATACGGAGGAAAGTAATTTAACTCTCTGAAGTTTCAGAGCATTTACCACAGTCTAACAAAACACTGAACTCAAAAGACTGGTTCTACTTACTGAGGGAAAGGAGCCCTTGTCCTTGATGCCCGGAGAGAACCAGAGATATGAGCTTTATTTCCCAAGAAGGAACAATGCTGCAGAAAATGGTTCAAGTTCCTTGCCCCTGTTACCTGCCCTCCTAGTGGCAGAAATAAGTTATCCGATTATATAAGAAGGCCTGACACTTGCTGGGCCTCTTCTCTTGGGGGAGAAAGAAAGAGTCAAAGTTAACTGTTCTCTCTAAAGTCCTATTCTGGCTCCAAGACATACACTGCAATATTTTAAGGTTATGAGTTGTCCAAGATTCAAGAAGCACCAGCATTTAAATACTTACAAGTAATGAGAAGGAAGCAAGTACAGTTTAAAGACTGACTGACAAGAGACTGGGACTCTAGTACTAGCTCTATCACTAGCTGTGACTTAGGGGCCACTTTACCTCACGTGCAAAATAAAAGGGGTTGACTATATGAGTGCAGTCTAGTTTTAAAATTCTCTAACAAATCTTCCCCTCTAGAAATTAAATACGAAGCTAAGGGATCTTGTTCTACTTTCTGTACCTGAAAAAACCCTTCCTTCTAGGGCAGGGATTCCAAAAGTGTGGTCAGCGTCTAGAAATTCGTTAAAATGAAAATCCCTGGCCAGACCTTGGGGATCAAAGTCTGTGTGTGTTGGGGGGCGGGGGAAGGTGTGAGTTAGGAGTTTTAACAAGCAATCCAGGAAACTATTATGATCTTTAAATTTGATAATTCTAGGGCCTTGGTCTTCAAAATGACACAGGATATCAATTTAAAGATCTTTAATTTCCATACGTAATGTCCTAAGATTTATGTGCTCAGATGAGCCCTCTTCAGATCGACCATTTCTGTATTTCCTTTTCATAACAGCCATACTCCCTATTTTCAAAAGAAAGGCTGCCTCTCACCCATCTAGAATCTTTCTATGAGGCACTGCCTCAGAGTGTAAAAAATCTCTAGAGGCATCAAATGAAAGGATAAAACCCCCAGAGGACTCTCAAGAGTGAGGACAGAGTAAAGCAAAGAGCGCTTTGGTTAAAAATTCTGTGCCTTATCTTTCTTTCTTAGAACTGCAATTCACAAGGCTGTGCCAGAGACATATGTTAATACATTTATTTGAATCAAAAATAAATTCAAATATTTTCTGACTGAAAGTGAAGTCTAATTTGGCTGATTAATTTTATAATAAGAATAGGCTTTGCCAATTTATGCCAGGACTTTTTTCTATAAATTTAATCAGCTAAATCTACAGCTCCCAGGCTTTGATAAAAATATCTTTAAAGCACATATAGAATACACTGGATAGTATATCCTAAGTACTTAAATTTGTTTAAAAAATCTAGATGCTAAATTAAACCTGTGCAAAAGGAAAAGTAATCTAGGGTGAGAGCCATGAAACAGTGGAGGGCACAGGAAAAATTGTGCAGTAACAGAGACGCTCTGTAGCTTATTTTGGGTGGTTATTTAGATGTCTACAACCAGCAGAAAGGAACACTTGACTGTTTGCTAATATACCTCAATTTTTTACATGTGCAAAAGATTACATATACTTTCTCAAAATTCTTTTAGGGATATGTTCACAAAAATGTTTGATGTAATTTTTCTAGGCACACATGCAAGAAATCTCATTTTTCAAGACTTCTCTTTTGGCTTCTCTGAATCATGCAGCCTGATCGCAACATCAAGTGATCTACATACTATGTAGCTTGACTAATCAAATTAAGGTTTTTCATTGGTAGCTTTTATATTTTTCTAATAGCAACCTTGCATTTTGATGCCTAAGAACATTCCCTAATAGAAAAGAAGAGTAGGGAATAAAATTAACTAAAGAAATGATTACTCTTTAAGTAACCTGGTAAATCGATGAATCAATTTTTGTTTGTACTGGTAGCTTCTCCCTCCTAGGATCCTCAACTTTGACGGAGAATGAAGTGATTAACATATCTTTTCATATTGTTAATGGAGCCCCCAAACTGATAACCTAGTTCTAAAGAACTCCTTCTCAAATTCCATGTAGGTTTAGAAGCAAATATGTCCTGGAACACAGATGTTTAGATGAATAAATCAACAGAAGCAACGGGTCGCACTCAGTAGAGATGGTCAATACTGACGTTTTGAGATATCGTCTGGCCTTATTAATATTTATCTACAATTCATTGATTCAGCTATGCTATAAAAACCTTGATAACCAACTGAATCTCTTTCTTGCAAATAGGGCACGAAGCCCCAGCCTTCTTTAATCTTCTGGCACAGTGAAAACAAGTAACAAGATGACCTGTCCTCCCATGAATAATGTTCCCATCTCGTGGTCTTTTCTCACATAGGCTACATGGCTTCAGGAGATTCTGGCAATCCTCCATGTTTTCTGTATCTGTTCTCTGTTCAAAAAGGTTATCTGATTGTTCTCCCATGCTTGATATGGTCTCTTGGCTTTCAGAACTGTGAGCCAAATCCAAGAATTCCACTGAATTGCAGGGATCAAAAAGTTTGGGGTTTTCTTCCTTTATATATACATCTTTAGGTCTAACAACTGGAGCTGAAATGGTTCTTCGGCAATCAGGGACATCAATTCCTTCATTTTCCTTCTTTTCGGGTATGGCAGTGATATCAGATGTGGAAAGAGAATGGGTTAACTTAGAACAATCTGAATACCAATCCTTCCTCAAGGCCCAGCAACGAAAACAGTACCTCTTGCTTGGAGAGTTAAATTTCTTGCACTCAGTACACTGCCACTCATCCTACAAAGACAAATGCAGCCAATTAATACTCAGTGGTGACATTATGCTGAGAAAAAGGGAGGGTAGGCCTAATTCTCATCATTGCACTAAAGTAGTGAGAGTCCAGACATTCTACAGCAGTGGTCTAACCCAGAATGTGAACAAATTCTACAGCTATGTGTAAGAAACTCTTGAGAAGTTTTACACTGATAGTGACACAACTGCCATTTCAAGCCAAAATTTGATATAGCTCTCTTTAAGAAAATTAATTATTTTGGCTTTCTATTTACTCTAAGTAAAATTTACATTGTTTGTTTTTCCCCATTGCCCTCTTTTTAGACCATTTCTCTTTGTAAAACTTACTCTTATATTGAGCAAGAGGCTAAAGAACAAAGAAGAGAGAACACTCTGTCATTCTTTGCTACTAATCAACAAATGTTATAGAATTTAGCAAAAAGGAAGCTAAAATTAAAATGAGATTTGAAAACTACTATATTTACTTATGCTCTCTCGCTGCTCTCAGGATCACAGGTAGCTAACTGTATGCCTAAATCATAGCCTCTGAAAAATGAATGTTCTTGTCCTTGAATGCCAAGTAATTTTTTTCCTACTTCTCCATATTCAAATTAGGAGATACTAGAGCTCAATGAATTTTAAACGCCTTGCTTAATTCAAAGGTGGCTACCCGGAACAAGTCAAGTGTATTTAATGTGGATAACCGCCTGGCTTTGAAAGATCAATGATGTGGCACAGGCCGACTTGACTACTTTCAAAACAAAGGCCAAGCACTTCAAGTTCAGAAGTCATAACTCAATTGCCTAGACCAAGAGGCAGGGACACAACTCTTTGTTAAACTGGGATGTTCTCCAGAAAGTCTCAAGACATTCTTGCCAGTTTAAGATCCTCAGATCTCATCTGAAATGCTACACATATACTCAAAGGAACTTCATAAAGATTTGGAATGAGTAACTGATGATGCATCACAGTCTAATTGGCATCACTTGTTCCTTTTTAGTAGTACCTAAAATAACTGGGCTTATTAAATTCAATGGCATCTTTGATTTCATGAAATACAGTCTATTTTCTTAATAGATTTTCTGGTCCAAAGTAGCCACAGAAGTCTGATTAAGATGCAAACACTTAACTCTGCTATTTGTATTAGAGTCAAGAACACTTAATGGACCAATATATTCCACTTGATAACTTAGCTATGCACAGACAGATAATTTGCAATGAATTACTGTAATGGTCAACAGCAGTGGGGTGGGAGTGGGGCGGGGGGGAGATCAACACCAGAGACAACCTAAAATTTTTCTATGCCCAAGCAGCAAAATGTAAAAGCCCCTCCTGCTCCTTCTCCCATCACCATTCTTCCCACAGTGAGTTAGCTGAGGGAAGCAGTAAAAGGAAAACTGGGAACTAACATGAAAAGAGAAGCAAAGTATATATCTGAGTCTAGATCTGAGTTGTCAATTGGTGACAAATCCATAGCTATTACCCAATAGCTTAATAGTAAATCTTCATTTATTAGCCCTATGTTAATATAACCTGTGTGGAAATTAAGCCATTTTTCCATTTGTTTCTTTTAAGAAAGCACTGAAAATATTTTTGTACTTGACAAAGAATTTTAGATAGTTTATATGTCTGTCTTCGGGATTACAGAGAGGTTTTCATGGGAAAAGTAGTGCAGGACTACTCTGAATAGCTCCATGTATCCACTGCCTCATGTCCAAAGAGTTTTGATAGCAGGGAGAAAGGAACACAGAGAGGCATTTACATCATCCCTTTTCAAAGCAGGGAGAAAAGAAGATCAACTCATCCCCTTCTCTTCTCAAATTCCAATAAAAAAACCTCTAACAAGATAGAAAGAGGGGGTGGCCCCGTGGCCAAGTGGTTAAGTTCACACACACTGCTTCAGCAGCCCAGGGTTTCGCAGGTTTGGATCCTGGGGGTGGACCTAGCACCGCTCATCAGGCCATGCTGAGGCGGCGTCCCACAGAGCACAATCAGAGGGACCTACAACTAGAATATACAACTGTGTACCGGGGGACTTTGGGGAAAAGGGGAAGAAGAAAAAAACCAGAAGATTGGCAACAGATGTTAGCTCAGGTGCCAATCTTTAAAAAAAAAAAAAAAAGATAAAGAAACCCACATCTCTTAACACCTAGGAAAGGTAGAACACAAGTGAACTGCTGGAATATTAACACCTGAAGACATAGGTGGTAGGAAACAGCTCTTTAGTTTACTGGAGAGTCATACCTCAGAGGTAACTTCTACATCAGTGTCATCACTTAAGGACTTCGAGTCCTCCAGGTCATCATTTTTCCCCACTTCAATCACCTGTGAAGGCAAAGATATCTCATGAGTAAGGTTTACCTATTTTAGATGAAGTTATTACCTGAGAATGAAAAGACAGAAGAGCTTCAATTTAAAACTCACATTCTGCCTCCATCATTAGCACTTAAAAAGAAGATAGCTTAAATATGAGAGCAAAACATGATTTTGGCCACACCTAGCCAGGATTTTAGCAGAAGGGAGAGGATGCCCAAATTTATGACTTTGAAGAAAATAATCAATATCGAAGTAGAAAAGCTAAAAATTACTCAAAGTGGAAATTTTTTTCTTGGGAATCTAGGTAGGCATTCACAAGAATAAATAAGGATTACGTGAGAAAATCAAAGTGAAAAGCTCTGTATAAAATAAGGAACTGAGATGTGAAAAATGAAAACAAAGTATTTTAAAATTTTACTTTTCATATTCAAGAGTAAAACTACTTATATGATACTCTGGCTGTCATATAAAAACATGCCCTTGGACCAGGAAACAAAAAGTCGGAACTATCTTCCAAATTTTAAAATTTAGAATTTAAAATTCTAAAAATTAAAATACCCTAGATTTGTAATCTAGTAAATGGAATAAAACTAATTATGATACAATTATGAACCTCTGTGTAGAAATTCTCTCACATAAGTTCAAGTATTTTAAGTCCCATGTCTCTCTACAGAAGTTTCCAAATGTCACCTCTGTCTTCATTTTAGCTGCTTACATTCCCTTCTAATGCTACCCAGATAATTAGTCTAACAGAACCCAAGCACCTACCATAAACATATCAGGATAACCTTCAGGAACCCAAATTACTAAGAAAATCCCTTAAATTAAAGAGGTGACCCAGTTTCGGTCTGTTTTTGCTACATTCATTCAGTGGATGCTTCTGAGAGTCTTCCTCATTTGGGGCACTGGATCGGCTGCCCAGTTTCTCCTGAGAGTCTTCCTCATCTGGGGCACTGGGTCGGCTGCCCGGTTTCTCCTGAGAGTCTTCCTCATCTGGGCACTGGGTCGGCTGCCCGGTTTCTCCTGAGAGTCTTCCTCATCTGGGGCACTGGGTCGGCTGCCCGGTTTCTCCTGAGAGTCTTCCTCATCTGGGGCACTGGGTCGGCTGCCCGGTTTCTCCTGAGAGTCTTCCTCATTTGGGGCACTGGATCGGCTGCCCAGTTTCTCCTGAGAGTCTTCCTCATCTGGGCACTGGGTCGGCTGCCCGGTTTCTCCTGAGAGTCTTCCTCATCTGGGCACTGGGTCGGCTGCCCGGTTTCTCCTGAGAGTCTTCCTCATCTGGGCACTGGGTCGGCTGCCCGGTTTCTCCTGAGAGTCTTCCTCATCTGGGCACTGGGTCGGCTGCCCGGTTTCTCCTGAGAGTCTTCCTCATCTGGGCACTGGGTCGGCTGCCCGGTTTCTCCTGAGAGTCTTCCTCATCTGGGCACTGGATCGGCTGCCCAGTTTCTCCTGAGAGTCTTCCTCATCTGGGCACTGGGTCGGCTGCCCGGTTTCTCCTGAGAGTGGAGCATGTGCTTGTATGCTGCCTCATCTTGGTGCACTCACACCATGCGTACTCAGAGTTCTAACTCCCTTCTTTCCCCTATATAAACTCTAAAATACATAGGAAGAATTCATCTGTCTATTTCTATTTAGATAGAAAATGGTTATGGAAGCTTTTGAGATGTCCAAGAAATAAGGATTTTTTTCCTACAGGCTGTTGTGGCCATTTAGAACTTTGCCTTGTTAGCAAACCAAGGTCTCCAGAAGAAAAAACTCCCCAATGGGAGACTACATGAGCAGAAAGAGTAGCAATTGCTTCTAACGAAGTAGGAGCTTTACCCATAAAGTCCTATCCTACTTTTCAGGTAGCCTTGATTAACTTAATGTAAATCTTAAAATTAGATACAGGAAAATAGTAAAAAAGTAAAAAGGGGGGATTATACGAGCCATTTGTTGTACAAAGAGGTATAGGTCAGGTCATCAGATTTGAAAAGATTATACTAGGTGCACATAAATACAATCAATGTGAAATTTTTCCACAACATACCTTTTTGTCTCGCACTTTCCCTACTTCTTCACTTGTTTGTTCGGTATCGGCAGCTTCAACTTTTATTCCAACACCAAACTGCTCTGACACTGACTCATTCAAAAACCACAAGTCATCCGTGGTGTCTGAAACAACAGCAGTACCTATATCCTAACAGAACAATACAAACGTGAGTTTCTGTAGTCAGAGGCTTATCAGAGATGTTAAACCAACATAAATGAACCCAAAACTCCATGTCCTCACCTACCTCTAAAGAACACCTACCCTTTCTTCAACAGACATCTATTCATTCAACAGATATCTACTTGCCACCTAGTATGTATAAGCTAAAGGATGGATAAGGGCGGCTGGCAAGGAATTTTCTATTTTAATAGCAAATCAGGTACGACACCTGAGAAATAATACTGAAGAGCTTAAAAGGTAAAGACTCATAGTTGCTCAACTAAATAGAACCCATTCCCTACATTCCTTTCCACAGGTGGCATTTTAAGGAGCAGTCTATTAACTGTGACATATTCTTTCCTTTAACGGTCAATGATGTTAACTGAAGAAATACAGTCATGCACCACATAACAATGTTTTGGTCAACGATGGACTGCGTATGGGACAGAGATCCCATAAGAGTAGTACCATACAGCCTAGGTGTGCAGTAGGTTATACCACCTAAGTTTGATTAAGTACACTCTATCACGTGTAAATGAAATTGCCTAAAGACACATTTCTCAGAATGTACCCCCGTCGTTAAGTAACGCACAACTGTACTGATGGTAACTCAAATCTTTTGTCCTCCTTCTGAATTCTTAAACAACTTTAAACTTACTTTCTGCATTCATTTACGGAGATTTTATGACATGCTTTTCTATAATATTCATAAGAGACAACTTATTATTTTGCCACCATTATATGCCCATTCACTTACTGAACAAACATTCACGGTATGCCTAATATGTGTAAGATACTGTTCTAGGTTTTAGGCAATAGAGTGGTGAATAACACAAAAGCCTGGATTTACGTTTGAGGGGTAAACAGACAAGAGACACATAAACAAAATACAATAACAGCTTTACAAAGTGAGAAGTACAATGGAGAATATAAAATAAGATAAAGGAACAGAATGATGATGGCTTGAATTAAGGTAGGACAGTGGAAGCAGTAAAAAGTGGTTAGTCAGGTTTCGGATATGATTGGATAAAGAGATGATAACCTGAATGTGGCATATGACAGAGAAAGAAGCAAACGGTATCTCATGATATTTGGCTGGAATAACTGGGTAGAAGGTAGACTTCTGAGAAAGGAAAGGCCAGAAAGAAGTGTTTGGTTAAAAAAAAAGAAAAACAGGGGCTGGCCCCGTGGCCGAGTGGTTAAGTTCGTGCGCTCCGCTGCAGGCGGCCCAGTGTTTCGTCGGTTTGAATCCTGGGCACGGACATGGCACTGCTCGTCAGACCACGCTGAGGCAGCGTCCCACATGCCACAACTAGAGGAACCCACAACGAAGAATACACAACTATGTACCGGGGGGCTTTGGGGAGAAAAAGGAAAAAATAAAATCTTAAAAAAAAAAAAAAAAAGAAAAACATATATATATATATATATATATCGAGAGAGAGAGAGAGATAAAGATATAAGATATATATATATATAATATATCTCTCTCTCTCAAGAGTTCTGTTTTGAACATGAAAAACATCAAATCATCTAAGTGGAGGTGTTGAATAGGCAGCTGGATATGGAAGCTGGGCATTTAGGAGAAAGGTCAGGACTGAAGACATGGATTTGGGCACTATATGCATACAGATGGTACTTAAAGTCACAGAACAGAATGAGGATTCTTAAAGAATGTAATGTGTGGTCAAGAGTAACCAAGAATGTTACTCTTTCCAAAAAAAAAGAAAAGCTCCCCTTTAAATGTGAAATTTACCTGATTTGTCTGTAAATCAGTTGAGCCATTACTTCTAGGGGTATAGTTGTTTCTTAAGTTTCCTAAAAACCACCAAGGCAGGCCGGCCACATCCCACTCCTCAAACCCAAGGTCCAGCCTAGACGTCTCATCTGGAGTTAAATTTTCTATCAAGTCTTCATCTGCGAAGTCAAATGAAAAGGATGACAACTATGGACACAACACTTAAGAATCAAGACTCTACAATACGTACAATCTCTTTATAAAACAGGTAAAAAGAAATCTTAATCCGAGTCAAGAACAAATCAGAAATCAAATATCTGTGTCAGCTGCAGAGCCCAATCTCCTCCCCTGTTTAGGCTTCATTAGCAAATAATGACACTAGAGATAAATCATCATTTATCAAGAAACTTAAACTCTGGGCCGGCCTGGTAGCACAGTGGTTAAGTTCGCACGTTGCGATTCTCGGTGGCCCAGGGTTCACCAGTTCGGATCCTGGGTATAGACATGGCACTGCTTGGCAAGCATGCTGTGGTAGGCATCCCACATGTAAAGTAGAGGAAGACGGGCATGGATGTTAGCTCAGGGCCAGTCTTCCTCAGCAAAAAGAGAAGCATTGTCAGAAGAGAAGAAAAAGAACACTGTAAGCCAAAGATTGGATTATTGTTCTTATTACCATAAAAGAGTGAAACTCATTAAAAAAGAAAAAGGAAAAAAAAGGAGGATTGACGGTAGTTACCTCAGGGCAAATCTTCCTCAAAAAACAGAAAGAAAGAAATTTAAACTCTGAAAGCATCCAAACAATGACACTGTTCTAAAAGGATTTCTAGTCATTTTATTGGCATTTACTGGCAATTTAAACATTCCCATCACTGTAGTAACTAAAGAATGACTTGGTCCTTGACAAAGGCTTAGATCCGCTGGACTGCAAATGGTGATGGCATACTGACCCAACCCTTGAGATAGAAGCAAGGCAGTAGTACATCATGGCCGTAACTGCCACAATGGGCAATCACTAGGTTGTCAAGGCAGTCAGTCTCACTGGTATCGCATATTCTGGGACATACCTCAATAATTTATATGTTTTGATAGGTGACAACCATTATAAAACACTGAACTCCAGGTTGTCCAAATAAATATATATCTATGTCCTTTCTGGATCAATGGGCTCGTTAGGAGTTATCTAAAATCTAGAAATACTGCAAACCCAAAACATATTAAGGGCCCACATACTCCAAGTAAAAGATCTTGTATTCTTCATCTAAATGACATTCAAGGCAGTTAAAACATAAGTCTGTTGCTACCACATGAAATTCTTTTCTTCTTTCCCATAGTCCAATCTTTTTCGTTGTGCTTTACTCTTTTCCTACTTTCTCATTCTCCGCTACCTCTTCCCAATTCCCTAGACATGCCAATGGCAACCCCGGGTGTTTAAATATGCTGAGGGACATATGGTTAAAAAAATTTCTGCAATAGATGGATCCCTGCCAGAACAAAAGGTCACCATATTTACTTATAAATTATGTTGAGTCTGCCTATTAAAAGGCTTATCTGTACCCAGGGAAACTTCAACTACCTTTGCACTTACTCATTGCTGAAATCACTAGAAACCAAGTTCCTGAGATAGTACCACATTAAAGTTATGTGCACATTCTGTCCTTTCCACCTATATACCTACTAAGCTATTTATTCTCGAAATTTACATCACAAACTACATATACTCTCTTGAATTGGCTGTTCTTATATTTTAAACAGTCTTCTGAATAGAAAATAAGCAAGAAACAAAATTGCACATCTAACACCATACAGACCGGAATAAGCTCCAAGGTAACTAGGTAGGCCAAAATTCAGTTTATATTTAAATGTAATTTGAAGAAAACAATCCAGCATGATAAAGTGACTTAATTTTAATTTAAACATTTAAAGCAATTTCAGCGGAATAACTTTCTGGGATGTTGCTAGAGGTCTAAACTGCCATTGCTCCAAGTGTGAGCCAGGTACCTGGACTAGAAACTATCATGCCATAAAATACTTTTGAGGAATTTACATTTTATACATCTTTGCAGAAAAAATTTTACGAGTTATTTTATAAAGTTTGAGGGAAACTTCCAAAATATCAATTAAGTCACTTAACCTGCCCACACCATATCTAGTATGGATGACAAAGATCTGATGACTACCATCCAAGGGCAAAGGAACTACCAGGCTTCTTATACCTCATTCTTTGCTCTGAGATACCAAGTATATTTTATCATCTTTGCAAACTTTAAAAATCTATGAAAATTAGGCTTTGCCTCAAGCAAACAAATCAAAATAAAAATTCTAAAACTTTATAATATAGACAGGGGTACCAAGATTTAAAAAAGGCCAAAGCAGCTGAATTACCAGGTGGCAAACTGATAAGAGCGTAGTTGTCTTCTATTAGCATGCTAGCTAAAGGGAGAGTCTTGCTCCATACCAGTAGCCCAGGGTCGCTAAAAGAACACCGTCATCTTCTTCAAAGTTAACAATGATGACTAGGGTGAAAAAAAGGTTTTCAGAAAAGAATAGGAAATAAGAATGACATACGCCCCTCCTACTTCACAAGTGAAGAGACAGCAATATTATTTTTTGAGTTCTCTACATAATGGTCTTAATTACAGCTAGTGCTTAATATGGATAGATGCATTTCTAGACATCAACAAAAAAAAAGAAAGAAAGAAAGAAAAAGCTACATAGTCTAATGCAAAACTTACCTTCTCTAGAATTTTTGCATTTATGCTGTGAGGTAGACAGTGTAGGAATATTCCCTTCTTCAATTCTTTTCCTGGAATTGGAACTTTCCTCTGCACTTTGCTGAAAAAAAAGGGAAAGCTGTCTATCAGTGCAGTAGAAATGACTGAGACCAGGGGATGTAGCAGTTCCACTCTGGCTCACCAGTTAGTGTGCAACACAATGGGTTACGCACAAGAAAGAGAACTCTGGAGCTCACAACAGTCATCAAATAAAAGCAACATCTCTCTTCAACCCACTGTGAGCAGAGCTAGGAAAAATCCCAAACCTGGGGGAAAAAAAATCTCTGCACAAAAGGCCAAAATATACTGTTAAAAACAAGCTAACAATATAAAGCCTCTAGCCTACTACAAAATTAGGCATAACTCAGAAACATGTGACACCCTCACCGTATACCAAGATGATCATCAAGTTTCCCCAGGTTTGGGGAAGCTTTAAGAAATGGCCTGACACGAACTTAACGGCAACAAGCCTGTTAAAATCTAATAAAGCAGTTTCCTCAAACACCTACGTATATACACCATCACACACACGGGCATACGCAAACCCCAAAGAAAATGCAACTGGAAGAACTGAAGATCAGAAGTGCTACATCCCAAAGAAAGATTCAGAGACTGGAACTCTGTTATGGGCAGAACAGAGAAGGTTCACTCTGTCCCTGGTCTGTGAACTCCCAAGAACCTTTCTTATTAAATTCTTACCACATTCAGAGAAAGGTCTTGGGAGTCCAAGATCCACAGGTACAGAGAAGGGGCCACTCTGTACAACAAAAGAAGTCACCAGGTGGTGATTTTACCTTCAGTTGGTCTTGACTTGGAATATCCATACTGTGATCCTGTGCGAGAGCGAGAGTCTGAGCGGCATCTGGATAGCAAGTAAAACAAAAGGAAAACCTTCCCTGGTAATAACCATTCTTTCCACACAAAAAGGACCTCAACAAACAACTCTGGAGACAGCTTTGGTCCCTAGAGATGTACTTCTGCACGTTAGCTGGCTACTGCTCTCATCCAAAAGGCAAGGATATAATCAAAACTGATAAAAATGGCAAAGACCAAGACAGTCTATATTCAAATTTGTTACCAAAATATAATCTAGGGGAAATGAAAAATGAGTAAAAAATGTTCTTCCACAGTAAACTTTCAAACTTTAATATAAAAAGTGATTCCCAGCAGGGAATAATGGAGAGTATTTTTATTATCTCCTCCTATAGGTGTTTATTCCCATATTTACCTAACTTGTAAACAACAAAAAAATGTTCAGCTTTTCAATTTAATTTTTATTTTCAAGTTAATACAGGGTTATGAGATCTGAAAATCTGGAATTTCCCCCCCTTATGTCATAAAACAATAGAATCTTCATGTAAACCTACATTCTAAATGTCAACGATGACTTCATGGTTTAAATGCCATCACCTGAATAGAGATTAGATTTTTTTAATCAACAAGTCTTCTTTTTCCCAGTTACTATAAACATTTCCTAAGAAGGAAGAGGAAGCAGATAAAGGTTTTCTCAATGGCCAAAAGAAAGAAGCAAAGAAAACAATAACCTAAGAGAAATTCTTAGTCTGAGAGAAATGGATTTCAAGAACATGGAAATTTTTCAAGCAGAACAGAAGATGAAAATCTAGCTACAGGAAAAGAACAAGCCGCAGAGAATTTAAGAAGCTGGATCATTCATTACATGAGGCTATATGTAACTAAGATGCCCCCAAGTCAGTCTACTGTAGATTGGGTTCATCAGTTACTAACAGGTCCAGAGATGAGACACAGAAAACATCATCCTCATCTAATAAAGACTGCCAGGGAAAGAATACAGATCCTACAACTGATCTGACAAAACTGTAATTTTAAAGAGCATTATTTCTGGAAGCATTTTTACAGATAAATGGATATACTGAGAAGTTCAAGAGACAGCACTGTCTGACCACAGTGGTCTTGAAAGACCGACTAACATACATTGCAGATGAAGCATTTCTTAATAAAGCAATTCGATTACTGTCATTTATAGTTCTAAAGCCTTACTGCCTTACTTAGGTTAAAACAATTAGAAGCAAAAAGAAATTATCTGGGAAAACTACAATGGACAAAGGAATTTTAAAATCAATACAAAGTTTGTCATATATATTTCGTTTTACTAGTATGCACGTGGAAATTTGGAGAAATGATTTATAAAGAATCACCTTCACTTTAAATAATGGCATTTTCTTCAACCATCAAAATAAAAGGTTTAACTCATCTGCAAAGGTATAAATAGGTATACGGAGAGCACTTTTCTCAATTGTCCTTTCAAATAAAACACTTGCAACCTAATCTACAAAGATCAACAGAGATGGCAACCACAAGCACAATGCAAGTGCAAGTCTGAGCAGACCAACAATCAAAATTACTTTAGGGCAATTTCCTGGGTTTCGATCATTGTACTATGGTTCTGTAAGATGTTACTATTTGGGGAATCTGGGTAAAGAGTATACAGAACTCTTTAATACCTGTGCAATTTTTTCATAAGTGAAATTATTCCAAAGTGACAATTAAAGAACAAACAAAATGCTTTAAAGATTTAATGTTCAGAGAAAAAAATGTGTTAAAAAAATTAACTGCAGCAAATTCTGTTACAAACAAGGGTTAAAGAGCTGGCAATGTGTGGCACAATGAAAAGAGCAAGGACTGGCCAGTCAGAAATATCTGCCCTGCCACTTACCAGTGGCATGCAATCTTGGACAAATCACTCATTCTATTAAAAAACCCTCAGTTTCTTCATCTCCAGACCTTCCTCACAGAGCCGTTGTGAGGATCAATTGAAATGTTTGTTATAGAAATGCTCATTTTAATATTTGACATGTAAAATTCTACAGAGGAAGTGCAAGAAAGAAAACGAGAGAAAGAAAAAGTGAGAATTACATCCACTTTAGACATTCAGAGAAGACACCAATCAGAAAACAAACTTTACTGAAAGAGTAGATCAGCAAATATAAAATCCTCTGTAGGGGCCAGCCCCGTGGCCGAGTGCTTAAGTTTGCGCGCTCCGCTTCAGCGGCCCAGGATTTCGCCAGTTCGAATCCTGGGTGCGGACATGGCACTGCTCATCAAGCCATGTTGAGGCAGCGTCCCACATGCCACAACTAGAAGGACCAACAACTAAAAATACACAACTATGTACTGGGGGGCTTTGGGGAGAAAAAGGGAAATATAAAACCTTAAAAAAAAAAAAAAAAAAATCCTCTGTATATCCCAAGCTTTAGTGACTGTCCCAGGAAAGCCAAACTATTTCACAAGTGACTGAATTTCAATAAAGCACAGTATCATTTGCAAGGCCCTGCATCTCAAACAGAAATTTACAGCTGAGTTAAGTGGGCAAATGGCTCAATGAAACAAACAGACTTCAAAATTCCATGTTAAGTTCAAAATCACATTTCAATACGAAAGCAAAGTCCTTGCTGTCACTTTAAAGTGTAAATTTTTATTAGGAATGCATTTTTTCCAACCTATTTGTTTCAGTAAACTATTGAAAGATAGCTGAACTAAAGGGATTACAAACTTAGGTTTTCTTTAAAGGAGAATGTTACCTAAAATCTAATTTGAAGCTCACAAAAGGGCTTCATGTAGAACTGGAGAAAGAAAAAAGTTTCATTATTTGGAAATGAGTGAGAGAGAGGGTTACATTTCAGTTGTATCTGGTTTATTCACTTATGTCTAACACACCACACTTCAGACCCCAAATCACCCAGTTTCCTGCACATATCTAAAAAACTCAAAGGGCAGTATTTAAAAAGTATGGAATCAAGCAAAGGGTTAGACAAATTGGCATTCAAATAACAGAAAGCTAAAACCATTAGGTGAAAGGTTCTCCAGAGACCTTTAAAACAGATGGAGCAGAGTGACCCCACCTGAGCCCACAGAATCGGTCCCTGAAACAGGATGGGCAGACCTTACATGACTCTGATGTGATGCAAGAGGCACAAAGCACCACCTATGAACCCTTCCCGGCAAAAAATTTAAACTTGAATCTATTCAAGCACTATGAGTTTACCAAAAATAGAAGAGACAGAGAAACACATTAAACATCACAAGGATACAACCTACAATCTCTAGAATGTGGGAAATTCTACAGGACAAATGATCCGTTTCTTCAACAAATAAATGACATAAAAACAAAAGGAGGGTTAAGTTTTACAGATTAAACATACTTAAGAGACATATCAACCAAATGCAATGTGTGAACTTTGGATCCTGATTTGAACAAGTCAAATGTAAAAGATATTTCTGAGACAACTGGGGATAACTATATATAAACTGGCTATTGGACAGTATTATGGAGTTATTATTTATTATACTGTTATTAATTGTGTTGAGTGTAATAATGGCATTGTAGTTATGTTTGAAGGAAAAAAGTCCATTTTTGTTAGATTTTAAAAGTATGTCTAGATGAAGCAAATACGGCAAAATGTTAAGAATTACTAAGTCTAAGAGGTGGGCACTAATTATAGCAACTTCTCCAATATATTTTAAATTTTCACAATGAAAAGTTAAGCAACATAGTAATAACATTCTGTGTGACAGGTATCCCTCCCAATCATGCCAAGACAGAATTCCATTTCCATCTTGATCCTCCTTGTTTTCTCATCATTTTTCCCCTTGAACTCAAAGCTGTGATACAGACTGGAGAAATATGATGTTACATACCTGTAGAAGCAGTGGCTAAAGTGACAAGATTCTTTCTTAGCATATCATAGAGAGGGCTGTCAAAGATATAAAATAAAAAATTAATAACCCCACGATTCTCCATGAAAATGTTAAGTGTATTCCTGATATACTATCTCCCAACTTTCTCTGTAACATATGGAGAATTTTTTCCCCAGAATAGATTTTTTTAAAATTATTTAAACATGTTAATACCCAAGCCCTTGTGTTACTGTGCCCCGTTAAAAAACTAATTAATTTACATTGCAGTTCATTAGTTAACAGTAACCTAAGTGGGGAGGTCTTACCAAAGTAAGACAAAATGAGCTCAGAAGAAACAGTCATCACAAAGCCATAGAGAGAAAGAGAACACTGGCTTCTCAATTACTAATTGGTCTTTGATTGTGTAATAACCATATACCCCATGTAGCTGGAGAAAGTCACACAATAGGTCAGAGCAGCTCTACTGAGATTCTTTTTTTTTTCCTTCTTCTCCCCAAAGCCCCCCAGTACATAGTTGTATACTCCAGCTGTGAGTGCTTCTGGTTGTGCTATGTGGGGTGCCGCCTTAGCGTGGCCTTACGGGAGGTGCCATGTCCGTGCCCAGGATCTGAACCAGGGAAACCCTGGGCCACCAAAGCAGAGCACGCAAACTTTACCATTCGGCCACGGGGCCAGCCCCTCTGCCGTGATTCTTATGAAGCTCTTCATGCACCTCAAAGTGCCCAGAAACTCTACATTCCTCTCATCAGCTCACTCTTCCTCTCTCTACAACAACTGTTTCACAAACCTAGCCACAGCAGGCTCCCTGCCAGCAGGCCCTTACAAGAGAGGTTCAATCTGCCAGAAGCTCTCCTTCAATCAGCCCCCTCTAACTGACTCTTTAATTATCCTTCAGCTCTCAGCTCAAATATCACATCCTGAAGGAACCTTTCCTTGACCCTGAACACCCTAAATCCCACCCCAAAACGCAGCTTCTTGTACCTCTTTTCTGTAACACTTACCATGTATAATTTTACCAGGTACTGGTGTGCTAATCTGACTAAGATGGGGAAGAGCACCTACTGCTCTTCAAGCTCCATACAGAGACTGTACTGCTCACTTCTACGTTCCCAGTGCCTCACGGGCCACCTGCCATACGTAGGCCCTTAAATATTTGTTGACTAATGGAATAAATAACCATGAATAATGTATGGAGATCAAGTGGTTAGGTACAGCACCCAAAATCTAAAGAAACCCTCACTCTTTTTACCTTGGATCTTTTACGGAGAAGCTCTGACGTCCTAGTAGTTCTCCCAAAAGATCTCCACCACAGTATACCATATGCTGCTCCTGCTGGTCATAAAGCTGCTTCACCATTATGTACTGGCCTAGATAGTGCATGACCTGCATGGAGATAAAACACCGTGAGGAGATCTGTCCGGCTGCTGTCAAAAACCAGGAAACTAATTATGAGATAAGTTAGTTTGCTGGAGTAAGAGATAATATTCATGAACACAACTGTCCGTGCTTGTGTAAGGGGTTCTACAACACAACAGTTGCCCCCAACTACTACGTTCGTCCACTTATTATCACTCTGGACATTAACAGACTCTTACTTTTTAGAACAGAAGTATACTGGTCTGACAATGAGAAAAGGTGAACTTACCTACTATCCCCTTAAAAGTTCTCTCACCAGTCCAAATAAAGGTGTCTGTTCTATTACTAGAGGTAATAAACTTTAAATTTGCCTGGGTCATAAAGATATTTTCCAAGTCCAGAGCACATAACTACTATAGGCTTTTGATGTGTGTTCACTTAATGCTTTTTGACAAATGAAGTACAATGTTTAATAAGCCATCAGCATTATAAGTGCATAAAACATAGAATCTAAACGTTTATCAAACGAAAATTTAGTCTACCTGGCTTCTTTTACAGAGTCCAAAAAATGGAAGGGAACACGGAGAAGTTCATGATTCACAACTTAAAAATTACCTAATTTTTTCCTAATGTTTTCTCCAGGTAGCAGATTTTTAAAAAATTACTTAAGTTTGCTTAATGACAGTAAGAATTTTGTTGTCAAAAATCATAAGCAGTTTAAAGCAACTATCTTTATCTTTAGGCTCCAACTTCTCAGGAATTATTAGATATCTGCACAGAAGATTTTTTCCACACTGTTCCCATTATACTGGAGTAATGATGTTCCTAGGCTCCCACCCTTCTCAGGCAACATATCCCAGGATTAACAGAGCTCTCATATCTACTCAAATATCTAGGGGAAAATAAGATGAGGAAGAGCATCTACTGGAAGAAAAAAAAGGAAGTTTTATATTTATGTCTGTCCAACTTTCTGAAAAAAATAAATCCACTCTAAGTATACAAAATAAGATCTTCTAAAATACTACTCTTGGGAACGGCCCTGTGGCTGAGTGATTAAGTTCACGTGCTCTGCTTCGGCAGCCCAGGGTTTCGCCTGTTCAAATCCTGGGAGTGGACATGGCACCGCTCATCAGGTCACGCTGAGGTGGCATCCCACATGCCACAACTAGAAGGACCCACAACTAAAAATACACAACTATGTACTGGGGAGCTTTGAGGAGAAAAAGGAAAAAAAAAATCTTAAAATACTACTCTTAATTTGTATATAATACTTCTATTCTCATACTGTCGCAATACACATACTGAGAACCAATATTTAAAAACACAAAATCAGAAAATTCCTCTTAATGTACTGGGTAGGGTCAAGATTCATAATAGAGAGTTTATCATGTAAACTCTGTCCAACTTTCTTCCCAGTAAAACATTCTCCCTGAACAATATGTACTTAATATCTTTTTTTTTTTAAAGATTGGCACCTGAGCTAATACCTGTTGCCAATCTTTTTTTTTTCCTTCTTCTTCTTCTCCCCAAAGCCTAAAGTACATAGTTATATCTTCTAGCTGTAAGTCCTTCTGGCTCTGCAATGTGGGATGCCGCCTCAGCATGGCTTGATGAGCAGTGCCATGTCCATGCCCAGGATCCAAACCGGCAAAACCCTGGGCCGCCAAAGTGGAGTGTGCAAACTTAACCGCTCGGCCACGGGGCCAGCCCCCTTAATTTCTTCTTGACCCAGGCAAACTCTGCCATGCTATTGAAGGAGAAAGCACAATTCATCATAACAACTTTACAGATGTAAAAATTCACACTTTAATAACAGTTTGGAAAAAAAGTCTTACTCATCAGAATTTTAGAGAGAAAGTCCAAAATGATGCACTTGATTTAAAATGATAAAGGAAATATGGGTATTCTAGAAAATCCAAACTGCCTCCAGACTTGTTTCCTTGTGAGGGATAACGGCTCAGGAGTGCAGCACTGCTGATAGGTGTTAAGCTTCTAAGAAAAGTCAAAAAAAGCTTGATATTTTGTTTCCTCTTCCTTTAGGAAGGGTTAGATCCTTACCCTACTAAATGCAAGCAGTTTGAAGAGATTAACATTTTAATATTGAGTCTTTTCTACTTAAAGAAATCAATTTGCTTTTGTTAAAAAAAAAAAACTTTAGAAGCTAAATAAGTTATTTAAATGCATTAAGTGTTTAAAACAACTCACAGGGCTCAGAAGAGTATCTGACACATTTATAATGAAAAACTACTGCATTTAATTCCTGCCTGGCAGCATATCCTGTAAATCACAGAGAATGTCATTTTTTTAATCTTGTACATGTTTTGCATTTTAACTGCGATCAATGAATTCATGGTTAATCTTATGTTAGGCTGACAACACACTTCAAAAGGAAAGGAAATATGAAGTTCAACCCAGCTCTTTAAAACAGAGCAAAAGGTGCCTCTCCAGTACCTTAGGAGTAGAACTTCCTTTCTTAGGCTTGACTTCAGAACTACACATTCACCAGCTTCTACTTCACAGCTGTTCTTAAAACTGAGAATTTTCTTTGTTGGCTTACCTCTTTAACAGTGAACATTTCACCTTGTGCACCTGCTGCCTGCAAAATCTTCAGAAGTGGCAGTTTTGGTCGTACCTGATACAAACATAAAGTAAACCTGCTATTTACATTTCAATTAGCTTCTGAAACCCTAGGGAACAAGAGAACCTCTTTAAACGTTTTTTTTTTTTAACAAACCCTGGCAGAAACTTATCATCTAATAACAATCTTCCAATGCATAAAATAACTACAGATGATCAGACTACTACTTGTTAACCGTCCTGAAAAATCGCATTTTCATTGACACCTACTAGGATGGCTATAATAAAAGGAAAAAAGAAAATCAGTGTTGGTGAGGATATGGAGAAACCGGAACCCTTGGGCACTGCTGATAGGAATACAAAACGGTGCAGCTGCTGTGGAAAACAGTTTGGCAGTTCCTCAAAAAGTTAAACATAGAATTACCATGTGACCCAGTAGTTCCACTCCTAGGTATAAGTCCAAAAGAACTGAAAGTAGAGACTCAAACAAATATTTGTACACCCGTGTTCATACCAGCATTCTTCACTATAGCCAAAGATGGAAACAACCTAAATACCACTGACAGATAAAAGGACAAACAATGTGGCCGGCCCAGTGGTGCAGTGGTTAAGTGCGCACATTCCGCTTTGGCAGCCCTGGGATTGCCGGTTCGGATCCCAGGTGCGGACATGGCACCGCTTGGCAAGCCATGCTGTGGTAGGCGTCCCACATATAAAGTAGAGGAAGATGGGCATGGATGTTAGTTCAGGGCCAGTCTTCCTCAGTAGAAAAGAGAAGGACTGGCGGCAGTTAGCTCAGGGCTAATCTTCCTCAAAGAAAAAGAAAAAAGGATAAACATGATGTGATATCCACATACAAGGGATAGTGACTTTGTTTGCCATCTCTGGACTCTGATTGTGGAGTCTGTCTTTAGCGACACTATTTTATCTTTAAAACGTTATAAGGCCAGGGGCTGGCCCCGTGGCCGAGTGGTTAAGTTTGCGCGCTCCGCTGCAGGCGGCCCAGTGTTTCGTCGGTTCGAATCCTGGGCGCGGACATGGCACTGCTCGTCAGACCACGCTGAGGCAGCGTCCCACATGCCACAACTAGAGGAACCCACAACGAAGAATACACAACTATGTACCGGGGGGCTTTGGGGAGAAAAAGGAAAAAATAAAATCTTTAAAAAAAAAAAAAAAAAACGTTATAAGGCCAGATTTGTCTCTCTCTTCCTCTCACAGCCGCCTCGGTTTTGTCTTCTTTAGGCCTTCCTCATTCTAAAGTCTCACAAATATTTCCTAAATTTTCTTCAAATATTTTTTATCATTCCACTTTTTACATTTCAGTCTTCATCTATCTGGAACTTGTTGTTGTACAACATCTGAAGTCTTCGTTTGTTTCCATTCAGAGATGGTCAATTATGTCAAAACCATTTATTACAGAAGCCACATTTTCCCCTATCAAATCCAAATTCCACCTTATCATGTATTAAGATACATAATACTATAATTGTGCGATGTTTATGAAAACACAAAACTATGTATTTTTAAATGTTAGAGGAAAAGGTATGAAACAAGACACAACTAAATTGGTAATAGTATTATCTTAGGGGGAAGGGACTTTGGGGGAAGAAGGGAGGAGAAGATCAAAGGAGTCTTCATAAAGTTTGAATTTTTTAGAAGAATACATTTTCTACATTTACAATTTAAAATTTTTAAAGAAAACAAACTAGTTACAATGAAGTGAGAGACAGAAAACAAGCACATAACATGGCCCCAAATTCTCCACTAGCCATCCATACCCTAAAACATGCTTATTTTCAAAATATACCACTTTGAGCAATCTGTAACCTCCATATACTTATTTAATCAACAACCAATTCAATTTATGAGTATTGGTACGTTTACTAGTCTCCCTAATATGACATTTTTAAAAATAATCCCTTCTGCTGTCATAAAATCCTATGGTCAGTGAAGTCTGCTACGGTCAGTGAAGTCAGTGAAGCCTCAATTCAATTTTTTAAAAACTTAAAGAATAGGAATGCCTAAAAATGAGTTACCTGATTGATTTGTTCTGGAGAGATCCTGCAAGCACTGTCAGATGTTGAACACTGGGCAGAGGTGGAAAATGATGTCATTTTGGCAGTGAAGAAGCTGCAGTCTGTTGATAAATCTAAAAGGAAAAAAAAACTATAAAATCTCTTCTAAAGCAGAAAATTCTCTTTAGGATTTACAAAAAGCAACCAGCAGAAATAAAAAGGACACGTATATCAGAGCACCCTAGACAAATGCAATGTACTCATGCTGAGGTTCTTGATCCCCTTCTGATCACTTTCTAGTTCAGATTCTGCAAAAAAACTGAAGAGAATTTAGAGGAAGAACCACCTATTCTCCCCTCAGGTAAAGCCTGACAGAGACAGGTTCAGGCATGCTCCACCCTCCATACTGATGAAAACGAGCAGCGTGTTTCAGCTCAAAGTCAAATTTACAATCATTCTCTCTCCAGTGGATAACAGAGAGTTCTTCAGTATCTCCTCCTCTCTGGGACAGTGCTCAGGAGCACCCGGCCCCAACAAATGCAGGGCTGAGGGAATTACCAAGATTAAGTAATAGATTTAAGATTCCAAGAGCACGTCAAGGAAAACCTCTGCAACATGTTGGAACATGTCTTGGCAAGAGACCACAGGAAAGTGAGAGTCCAAATATTCAGTATCAGTTAAAGCAGCTTTTTAAATGTGCCAAACCCAAAAAGTTGCATATAAAAGTTCTATTTATATGCAACTAAATACCCACAAAATAGGTGAAATCAAGGTGGACACACATCATCAAGAAAAGATAGAGCATGAAGTGAAATAGAGAGTAAAGTTCAATTAAAATTTTTCACCTTCTACCTTTTATCCTTTAAAAAAACAAAAGCTATAGAGAAGAAAAATAAAATTTTAAATGAACTTGCTTAAGTTTACCTTCATGCTTTTTTCTAGTAAAAAGGTGAGGAACAATCAGTGAAATTTATGAATAACAAGCCACATCAGGGGAAGGATAAAAGGGGCCTAGAAAAAACAGCAGTCTGGCTAAAGCGAAGAAGATTCCTCACTCTTCTGAGATTTATTATCTATAACCAAGTATACATTCTTCCCTCCACCATCGGCTTCCCTTGCTACCAAATGGGAAGTTAAACAGGATACAAGCATAACTCAGACTTTTAAAGCAGCTAGCTTTTAATTGGCGTTTCAAATCTCACAAAAAAACTAATCTTGATCTTCCCCAACCTGCCTGTCTGTAGTCTTCCCCACCTCAGTAAACAGCAAATCCATCCTTCCAGTTGCTGAAGTCAATGACCTTGAAGCCATCCTCAATTGCTTTTCCTCTCACACTTCACACCCACTCCATAACTAAATTCTGAAGCTACATCTTCAAAATACATCCCAAATCTAACCACCTCTCACTATTTACATTGTTCCCACACTAATCCAGGTCACCTGTCTCGTCACTGCATTAGCCTCCGAAAGGTTTCCTTGCTTCCACCCCTGCCCTTCTACCTCCTAACCTTCTCCTTTTGTCTTTGCTCAAATATCAGTTTATCAATGAGGGCTTCCAAGACTACCCATTTTTTTTTATTAAGATTATGATAGTTTACAACCTTGTGAAATTTCAGTTGTACATTCTTGTTAGCCATGTTGTGGGTACACCACTTCACCCTTTGCGCCCTCCCCCCACCCCCCCCTTTCCCCTGGTAACCACCGATCAGTTCTCCTTGTCTACATGTTAACTTCCACCTATGAGTGGAGTCATATAGAGTTCGTCTATCTCTAGCTGGCTTATTTCGCTTAACATAACATCCTCAAGGTCCATCCATGTTGTTGCGAATGGGACGATTTTGTCCCTTTTTATGGCTGAGTAGTATTCCATTGTGTATATATACCACATCTTCTTTATCCAATCATCAGTTGATGGGCACTTAGGTTGCTTCCATGTCTTGGCTATTGTGAATAATGCTGCAATGAACATAGGGGTGCATGAGACTTTTGGAATTGCTGATTTCAGGTTCTTAGGATAGATACCCAGTAGTGGGATGGCTGGGTCATAAGGTATTTCTATTTTTAACTTTTTGAGAAATCTCCATACTGTTTTCCGTAGTGGCTGCACCAGTTTGCATTCCCATCAACAGTGTATGAGGGTTCCTTTTTCTCCACAACCTCTCCAACATTTGCCACTCTTGGTTTTGGATATTTTTGCCATTCTAACAGGTGTAAGGTGATATCTTAGTGTAGTTTTGATTTGCATTTCCCTGATGATTAGTGATGATGAGCATCTTTTCATGTGCCTATTGGCCGTCCGTATATCTTCTTGGAAGAAACGTCTGTTCATGTCCCCTGCCCATTTTTTGATCGGGTTGTTTGATTTTTTGTTGTTGAGCTGTGTGAGTTCTTTATATATTATGGAGATTAACCCTTTGTTGGATAAGTAGCTTGTAAATATTTTTTCCCAATTAGTGGGCTGTTTTTTTGTTTCAATCCTGTTTCCCTTGCCTTGAAGAAGCTCTTTAGTCTGATGAAGTCCCATTTGTTTATTCTTTCTATTGTTTCCCTCATCTGAGGAGTTATGGTGTCCAAAAAGATTCTTTCGAAACTTATGTCAAAGAGTGTACTGCCTATATTCTCTTCTAGAAGACTTATTGTTTCAGGCCTAATCTTTAGGTCTTTGATCCAAGACCACCCATTTTCAAAACTGCAACTCCCAAGCCCCAGTATTCCCTGATCATGTAAGACATAAACTGCAAGTGGGCAGGGATTTGTATTTGTTTGTTCATTAATATATCCCCAGAGCCTAAAGTGATGAAGCATATGGCTAGAGCAACAGGACAGGTACAAGTATTAATAACAGAGTGGGTGGTTTCCAAAAATGGTCCCCAATGAACCACAGCTCCCAACTGGCTCTGTGACATAGAATCAACAGAATGCAGTGGAAGTGACAATGTGCCAATTTCAGGCCAGGAAGCTTCATTTTTGGTGCTATTGGAGGCCCCTGAAATCTGGCCACTCTACTGGAGACCACACAGAAAGGCCACATGGAGAGACAGCTGTCCAGTGGAGCCCAGCCTTCTAGCCATACCCTCCAAAGCACCACATCTTGGGACATTCCAGCCCCAGCTGACATCTGACTACAAATACACAACAGACTACAAGTGAGACCACCAGAAGAACCATCCAACTCAGCCCATAGGATCATAAAAAATAAATTAAATGGCTGTTATTTTAACTAAATTGTTGGGTGGTTTATTACATAGCATTAGATAATCAAAGCAGATGGCAAAAACTTATATACTCTGTACCAGGTACATATATTAATCCATTTAATACTTAATCCCATGATGTAGGTACTATTTTTATTCTTATTTTGCAAACAAAGCAAGAGAAACATAGGGACGTTATTTGCCCAAGATCAGACAATTAATAAATTGCTGGAATCAAGATTTCAAACTCAAAAGATCTCTGAAGTCCCCACTTAGCAATATTTTTTTCCCATTACACCTCAAGTGCACAGAACTAGATTAATCATAATCCTTTCCTTCAAGACATACTTTGTTCATTCATACATGGCCCACTTTTGATTCTTTTTCATAAAGCAATAAGCACCCACAAACTACAACTCTGACCACAATCTACTCTTAATTACAATATCCCCTATCCATTTGCCTGCCTTCCCCCAACAATCACGCTGAATCCTATGTTTTGATTTTCTACCCTTCCTTTTTACGTATTTTACTGCATCAAAATGGAATCCTAAAAAGTATGTATTTTCAGTTTAGCTGCTTTTAACTTTTTTAAAAAAGCAGTTATGTCATACCTAATTTTAGGGATCTTTGTTTCACTAAAACTCATTCCTACTGCTGTGTTACTTTAGTTCTTTTTTTAAAAAGTTGTATTGTGGTAAACTAGATATACAATTTACCTTTTTTCTTTTTTCCTTTTTTTCCTTTTTCTCCCCAAAGCCTCCCAGTACATAGCTGCCTATTTTTTTAGTTGTGGGTCCTTCTAGTTGTGGCATGTGGGACGCCGCCTCAGCGTGGCCTGATGAGCGGTGCCATGTCTGCGCCCAAGATCTGAAACGGCGAAACCCGGGGCCGCCTAAGTGGAGTGCTCGAACTTAACCACCAAGAGGAAACATATGGCCAATAAGCATATAAAGAGATATTCAGCATCATTAGTGATCAGGAAAATATAAGTCAAGCCCATACCAATTTACCATTTTTAAGTGTACAATTCAGGGTATTAAGCACATTCACAATGTTGTACACCATCACCACTATCCATCTCCAGAACTTTTTCATCATCCCAAATTGAAACTCTGTACCCATTAAACACTAACTCACCATGACTCCTTCTCCCCAGGCTCTAGTAACCACTATTCTACTCTCTTGTCTCTATGAATATGCCTGTTCTAGGTACCTTGCATAAGTGAAATCATACAGTATTTGTCGTTTTGTGTCTGGCTTATTTCACTCAGCATATGTCCACTTAGCAATGTTTTCAAGGTTCATCCATGTCATAGCATACTATTTTTTCATTTATTTTGACTGCTATATAACATTCCAGTGTGTGATGGTTATTTGTTTCTAGGTATTCACTATTGTGAATAGTGCTGCTATTAACATTCTTGTACATGTGGAGGAAAGTGTCTCTTGGGCATATCAACAAGAGAAATTGCTGGGTCATAGCCTATATGAATGTTCAACTTCAGGATCTGATATGGAACTGTTTTCAAAGGGTTTGCACCAATTTAAAACCCTATCAGCAATGTCTAAGACATCCTGTGAATCCATCTCCTCTCCAACATTTGACGTCATAAGACTTTTTAATTTTTGCCAATCAAATAGGTATGGGCTTGACTTATATTTTCCTGATCACTAATGATGCTGAATATCTCTTTATATGCTTATTGGCCATATGTTTCCTCTTCTGTGAAATATCTGTTTGTGTCCTTTGCACATTTTTCTAATTGATTATTATACTTAATGATTTATAATAGTTCTTTATATATTTTTAATATCAACCCTTTGCCAATTGGGTGTCTTGCAAATATTTTCTCCCAATTTGTAATGTCTTTTCCATTTTTTAGAAGGCACTTTTATGAGCAAAAACTTAATTTTAACAAAATCATTTATACTTATCT